TTGTCGCAGATGGTCAAACAAATCTGGTCTGCAAGACAACTCAGCTCATTTCCAGAGCTCCCCCTTTCTCTTTCGCGTGGCCTTTCCCTCCCCTGAACGATCGCACACTGAATGAACTTCAACCTCCGTCACGTCCAAGCACATCAGCTAACCGACAGCCAACAAGTCACTGGACGAAGCCCTACTGAGCGAGTGCCAGGTAAAAGGGCATTCTTGGAATTCGTGAAAAACTCGATGGCAGATGCAAAATTTCTTTCTTCCATGGCATAGGGTTATTTAATCTCGAATCTGAATTGCGAGTTTCCTCGCCGCGGCCTTCACTTCTACCTCGTTGTTTCCATAGAGAGAGGTTTGCCCTCTCTCTCCGTCGTTCTTGATCTGTGTGTGTGTGTGTGTATGTGTGTACGTGATGTGTCATCGCACAGACTGCTTGCGCCGCAAATCYCGCTTAATTACACACCAATAAGAAGATGAAAACGGATATTAGGCTAGAACTTGAGAAGATACACTATTGCACTCCCTGTTTGCAGAGCACTACGACTCCATCACTCACTTCGGAGAAATCGAGAGTGAATCTTCATCAAGAACACGAACAAACACACTACCACACCCTCTCTACCTCCTGAGCCCTGCCGCCCTGTTCTTCAAACGAGAAGAGTGAGAGCGAATCTCCATCGGATTCCTCACTCGTTAGTGTGTCGCGCCTACGTCGGATTGATCATCAGCTAATGGAAGTGAAGAAGAATCACTAGCCTGAACATGGAGGCACACACGACCTGTGTTCTTTTCTTTTTGCGGTACGGCAGGCCTGCCTGTTCCCACATGAAATGACGAAACCAGACGGGTCGGCAGCAAGATCGTGAAAATCAATCTTTAGCGGGATCATGGGAAGATGCATTGCCATGTTCTGTACCCTGTCCGTGGGGGGCCTGTACCAGATTTGGGAAGTCAGAATGTATTTTCATCTAGAGCATGAGAAGATACATCGCTGTATCCTTAATTTCTTGCAGTCCTGAATCTCCACCAGATGCGGTAGTGAGAATGTATCCGCAACTAAATCTTGGAGAGATACACCAGCACATTAATTATTTCCCATGCGCAGCGAGCGGCGTGCTTATCTATCAATAAAGTGCACGGGAGTCTATCTCCAGGTGAATCAAGAAATGACAAAATGCCATCTCCTTGTCTCCTGCGCACCGAAGAAAAAGTGCATTTGTTCTCTTTTGTTCTCTCTCTCTCTCTCTCTCTCTCTCTCTCTCTCTCTCTCTCTCTCTCTCTCTCTTGGGTCTGAAGTGCTCTCGCCCATTCTGTTCTTATCTCCTCCTAACGCACTTTGCCGACACCCCGACGATATTCACGTGCCCTAGATAATGTGCACGAGCAGCGACAATCTTCGAGGAAGAGCATGATCAACAACAACAGAGTTTGATCCGTCATTCGTCGGATATACCAAATTATCCAAATGAAATGAATTCTCCGCTAGATCGTGGAATGATACATTATCATACACCCTCGCGCAGCCCTCTTGGTTCATACCGACGAGTTCACTGAAAACGGTCAAGAAACGACCGAGCTACCTCCCTTCTCATCATTCTTCACCCCCCCCCCCCCCCCCCCCCCCC